ACGTGAAGCACTCTCTACACCAACCCTTTACTGCACCGTTACTAATGACGTACTCTCCACACCAACCCTTTACTGCACCGTTACTAATGACGTACTCTCCACACCAACCCTTTACTGCACCGTTACTAATGACGTACTCTCCACACCAACCCTTTACTGCACCGTTACTAATGACGTACTCTCCACACCAACCCTTTACTGCACCGTTACACGTGAAGCACTCTCTACACCAACCCTTTACTGCACCGTTACTAATGACGTACTCTCCACACCAACCCTTTACTGCACCGTTACACGTGAAGCACTCTCTACACCAACCCTTTACTGCACCGTTACTAATGACGTACTCTCCACACCAACCCTTTACTGCACCGTTACACGTGAAGCACTCTCTACACCAACCCTTTACTGCACCGTTACTAATGACGTACTCTCCACACCAACCCTTTACTGCACCGTTACTAATGACGTACTCTCCACACCAACCCTTTACTGCACCGTTAGACGTGAAGCACTCTCTACACCAACCCTTTACTGCACCGTTACTAATGACGTACTCTCCACACCAACCCTTTACTGCACCGTTACACGTGAAGCACTCTCTACACCAACCCTTTACTGCACCGTTACTAATGACGTACTCTCCACACCAACCCTTTACTGCACCGTTACTAATGACGTACTCTCCACACCAACCCTTTACTGCACCGTTACTAATGACGTACTCTCCACACCAACCCTTTACTGCACCGTTACTAATGACGTACTCTCCACACCAACCCTTTACTGTACCGTTACTAATGACGTACTCTCCACACCAACCCTTTACTGCACCGTTAAACATGAAGTACTCTCTACACCAACCCTTTACTGCACCGTTACTAATGACGTACTCTCCACACCAACCCTTTACTGCACCGTTACTAATGACGTACTCTCCACACCAACCCTTTACTGCACCGTTACTAATGACGTACTCTCCACACCAACCCTTTACTGCACCGTTACTAATGACGTACTCTCCACACCAACCCTTTACTGCACCGTTACTAATGACGTACTCTCCACACCAACCCTTTACTGCACCGTTACTAATGACGTACTCTCCACACCAACCCTTTACTGCACCGTTACTAATGACGTACTCTCCACACCAACCCTTTACTGCACCGTTACTAATGACGTACTCTCCACACCAACCCTTTACTGCACCGTTACTAATGACGTACTCTCCACACCAACCCTTTACTGCACCGTTAGTAATGACGTACTCTCCACACCAACCCTTTACTGCACCGTTACTAATGACGTACTCTCCACACCAACCCTTTACTGCACCGTTACACATGAACTACTCTCCACACCAACCCTTTACTGCACCGTTACTAATGACGTACTCTCCACACCAACCCTTTACTCCACCGTTACTAATGACGTACTCTCCACACCAACCCTTTACTGCACCGTTACTAATGACGTACTCTCCACACCAACCCTTTACTGCACCGTTACACGTGAAGCACTCTCCACACCAACCCTTTACTGCACCGTTACACGTGAAGCACTCTCTACACCAACCCTTTACTGCACCGTTACACGTGAAGCACTCTCTACACCAACCCTTTACTGTACCGTTACTAATGACGTACTCTCCACACCAACCCTTTACTGCACCGTTAAACATGAAGTACTCTCCACACCAACCCTTTACTGCACCGTTACTAATGACGTACTCTCCACACCAACCCTTTACTGCACCGTTACTAATGACGTACTCTCCACACCAACCCTTTACTGCACCGTTACTAATGACGTACTCTCCACACCAACCCTTTACTGCACCGTTACTAATGACGTACTCTCCACACCAACCCTTTACTGCACCGTTACTAATGACGTACTCTCCACACCAACCCTTTACTGCACCGTTACTAATGACGTACTCTCCACACCAACCCTTTACTGCACCGTTACTAATGACGTACTCTCCACACCAACCCTTTACTGCACCGTTACTAATGACGTACTCTCCACACCAACCCTTTACTGCACCGTTACTAATGACGTACTCTCCACACCAACCCTTTACTGCACCGTTACACGTGAAACACTCTCTACACCAACCCTTTACTGCACCGTTACTAATGACGTACTCTCCACACCAACCCTTTACTGCACCGTTACTAATGACGTACTCTCCACACCAACCCTTTACTGCACCGTTACTAATGACGTACTCTCCACACCAACCCTTTACTGCACCGTTACTAATGACGTACTCTCCACACCAACCCTTTACTGTACCGTTACTAATGACGTACTCTCCACACCAACCCTTTACTGCACCGTTAAACATGAAGTACTCTCTACACCAACCCTTTACTGCACCGTTACTAATGACGTACTCTCCACACCAACCCTTTACTGCACCGTTACTAATGACGTACTCTCCACACCAACCCTTTACTGCACCGTTACTAATGACGTACTCTCCACACCAACCCTTTACTGCACCGTTACTAATGACGTACTCTCCACACCAACCCTTTACTGCACCGTTACTAATGACGTACTCTCCACACCAACCCTTTACTGCACCGTTACTAATGACGTACTCTCCACACCAACCCTTTACTGCACCGTTACTAATGACGTACTCTCCACACCAACCCTTTACTGCACCGTTACTAATGACGTACTCTCCACACCAACCCTTTACTGCACCGTTACTAATGACGTACTCTCCACACCAACCCTTTACTGCACCGTTACTAATGACGTACTCTCCACACCAACCCTTTACTGCACCGTTACTAATGACGTACTCTCCACACCAACCCTTTACTGCACCGTTACACATGAACTACTCTCCACACCAACCCTTTACTGCACCGTTACTAATGACGTACTCTCCACACCAACCCTTTACTCCACCGTTACTAATGACGTACTCTCCACACCAACCCTTTACTGCACCGTTACTAATGACGTACTCTCCACACCAACCCTTTACTGCACCGTTACACGTGAAGCACTCTCCACACCAACCCTTTACTGCACCGTTACACGTGAAGCACTCTCTACACCAACCCTTTACTGCACCGTTACACGTGAAGCACTCTCTACACCAACCCTTTACTGTACCGTTACTAATGACGTACTCTCCACACCAACCCTTTACTGCACCGTTAAACATGAAGTACTCTCCACACCAACCCTTTACTGCACCGTTACTAATGACGTACTCTCCACACCAACCCTTTACTGCACCGTTACTAATGACGTACTCTCCACACCAACCCTTTACTGCACCGTTACTAATGACGTACTCTCCACACCAACCCTTTACTGCACCGTTACTAATGACGTACTCTCCACACCAACCCTTTACTGTACCGGTACACATGAAGCACTCTCTACACCAACCCTTTACTGCACCGTTAGACGTGAAGCACTCTCTACACCAACCCTTTACTGCACCGTTACTAATGACGTACTCTCTACACCAACCCTTTACTGCACCGTTACTAATGACGTACTCTCTACACCAACCCTTTACTGCACCGTTACTAATGACGTACTCTCCACACCAACCCTTTACTGCACCGTTACTAATGACGTACTCTCTACACCAACCCTTTACTGCACCGTTACTAATGACGTACTCTCCACACCAACCCTTTACTGCACCGTTACTAATGACGTACTCTCCACACCAACCCTTTACTGCACCGTTACTAATGACGTACTCTCTACACCAACCCTTTACTGCACCGTTACACATGAACTACTCTCTACACCAACCCTTTACTGCACCGTTACTAATGACGTACTCTCCACACCAATCCTTTACTGCACCGTTACTAATGACGTACTCTCCACACCAAAGCTTTACTGCACCGTTACTAATGACGTACTCTCCACACCAACCCTTTACTGCACCGGTACACATGAACTAGTCTCCACACCAACCCTTTACTACACCGTTACTAATGAAGCACTCTCTACACCAACCCTTTACTGCACCGTTACTAATGACGTACTCTCCACACCAACCCTTTACTGCACCGTTACTAATGACGTACTCTCCACACCAACCGTTTACTGTACCGTTACTAATGACGTACTCTCCACACCAACCCTTTACTGTACCGTTACTAATGACGTACTCTCCACACCAATCCTTTACTGCACCGTTACTAATGACGTACTCTCCATACCAACCCTTTACTGTACCGTTACTAATGACGTACTCTCCACACCAACCCTTTACTGCACCGTTACTAATGACGTACTCTCCACACCAACCCTTTACTGCACCGGTACACATGAACTACTCTCCACACCAACCCTTTACTCCACCGTTACTAATGAAGCACTCTCTACACCAACCCTTTGCTGCACCGGTACACATGAACTACTCTACACACCAACCCTTTACTCCACCGTTACTAATGAAGCACTCTCTACACCAACCCTTTACTGCACCGCTGCACATGAAGTACTCTCTACACCAACCCTTTACTGCACCGTTACACGTGATGCACTCTCTACACCAACCCTTTACTGCACCGGTACACATGAAGCACTCTCTACACCAACCCTTTACTGCACCGGTACACATGAAGTACTCTCTACACCAACCCTTTACTGCACCGGTACACATGAAGTACTCTCTACACCAACCCTTTACTGCACCGTTAGAGGTGAAGTACTCTCTACACCAACCCTTTACTGCACCGTTAGAGGTGAAGTACTCTCTACACCAACCCTTTACTGCACCGTTAGAGGTGAAGTACTCTCTACACCAACCCTTTACTGCACCGTTAGAGGTGAAGCACTCTCTACACCAACCCTTTACTGCACCGTTACACATGAAGCACTCTCTACACCAACCCTTTACTGCACCGTTAGATGTGAAGCAGTCTCTACACCAACCCTTTTCTGCACCAGTACACGTGAAGCAGTCTCTACACCAACCATTTACTGCACCGGTACACATGAAGCAGTCTCTACACCAACCATTTACTGCACCATTAGATGTGAAGCAGTCTCTACACCAACCATTTACTGCACCATTAGATGTGAAGCAGTGTCTACAGCAACTCTTTACTGCACCATTAGATGTGAAGCAGTCTCTACAGCAACTCTTTACTGCACCATTAGATGTGAAGCAGTCTCTACAGCAACTCTTTTCTGCACCATTAGATGTGAAGCAGTCTCTACAGCAACTCTTTACTGCACCATTAGATGTGAAGCACTCTCTACAGCAACTCTTTACTGCACCGTTAGACGTGAAGCAGTCTCTACAGCAAGTCTTTACTGCACCGTTAGATGTGAAGCAGTCTCTACACCAACCCTTTTCTGCACCAGTACACGTGAAGCAGTCTCTACACCAACTATTTACTGCACCGGTACACATGAAGCAGTCTCTACACCAACCATTTACTGCACCATTAGATGTGAAGCAGTCTCTACACCAACCATTTACTGCACCATTAGATGTGAAGCAGTCTCTACAGCAACTCTTTACTGCACCATTAGATGTGAAGCAGTCTCTACAGCAACTCTTCACTGCACCATTAGATGTGAAGCAGTCTCTACAGCAACTCTTTTCTGCACCATTAGATGTGAAGCAGTCTCTACAGCAACTCTTTACTGCACCATTAGATGTGAAGCAGTCTCTACAGCAACTCTTTACTGCACCATTAGATGTGAAGCACTCTCTACAGCAACTCTTTACTGCACCGTTAGACGTGAAGCAGTCTCTACAGCAACTCTTTACTGCACCATTAGATGTGAAGCACTCTCTACAGCAACTCTTTTCTGCACCATTAGATGTGAAGCACTCTCTACAGCAACTCTTTACTGCACCGTTAGACGTGAAGCAGTCTCTACAGCAACTCTTTACTGCACCGTTAGACGTGAAGCACTCCGACACCCCTATACCTTGCCTTGATATGTTATAAAGCGAACTGTTATAAAGTATTAAACATTAAAAATTATTTAATTCAAGCCAGTATTAGTCTTTTAAATGTTTATCTGTTCAATACTTATTAATAGTTCGCTGTACATATACCTTAAAATACCATCCCTTGTCGTCACTGTGATAGTGTTCAATTTTTTACATGTTTTTACTCGTGGTTATATCAAAAAGTGTCTTCTTTTCTTATGTACATATTTTAATATCATATGTTTTTTTTTATATTTTAGTGCTAATCTACTTGCAATATGAATTTCCCTTGGGATAATAAAGTCCTATCTTATCTTATAGTACGTCCCCCCATCCCACGGCACACGCACTCGCATATACACGCATATACACGCATACTCACCACGAGGTGCATGCGATTTTTCGGAGCGTGACCTCTGTGTGACCCCGGCTGTGCTATTATGGCGCAATGGTTGCGTCAGCTGGTCAATGATGATTTCATCCAATCACAGAGGAAAAGTCATTATAGAGGTCATGATGACCCGCAGCAGGGGGAGGGGGTTGTAACAGCCGCCAACACTACACACGCAACAACCCCTAATAACGGGCACTTGAAATCCTACAACAATTTAATATTCTCTGCCTGATTTCATGATGATATCTTCAGAGAATAAGAGTTGTTTCACAATACATATGCAGCTTGTTTCAATGTGTCCGTGGGAATTTAAACAGGCTTTGATATGGAGTAGTAGTTACACGTGTATTTTTAATTACTTTAATCAGATTACACTTATTTGTAGGGATTATCACGTTAGATATACACTACACAGGTCTGCTGACAGACGTCTGGTCTCCCACGAGTTCACTGTCATGGAGAGACCTGGGGTTATCACGTTAGATATACACTACACAGGTCTGCTGAGAGACGTCTGGTCTCCCATGACTTCACCGTCATGGAGAGACCTGGGGTTATCACGTAAGATATACACTACACAGGCCTGCTTACAGGCGGTGGGTCTCCCACGAGTTCACTGTCATGGATAGACCTGGGGTTATCACGTTAGATATACACTACACAGGTCTGCTTACAGGCGGTGGGTCTCCCACGAGTTCACTGTCATGGAGAGACCTGGGGTTATCACGTTAGATATACACTACACAGGTTTGCTGACAGACGCTGGGTCTCCCATGAGTTCACTGTCATGGAGACCTGGGATTATCACGTTAGATATACACTACACAGGGTCTCCCACGAGTTCCCTGTCATGGTGAGACCTGGGGTTATCACGTTAGATATACACTACACAGGGTCTCCCACGAGTTCCCTGTCATGGTGAGACCTGGGGTTATCACGTTAGATATACACTACACAGGGTCTCCCATGAGTTCACTGTCATGGAGACCTGGGATTATCACGTTAGATATACACTACACAGGGTCTCCCACGAGTTCCCTGTCATGGTGAGACCTGGGGTTATCACGTTAGATATACACTACACAGGGTCTCCCATGAGTTCACTGTCATGGAGAGACCTGGGGTTATCACGTTAGATATACACTACACAGGGTCTCCCACGAGTTCACTGTCATGGAGAGACCTGGGGTTATCACGTTAGATATACACTACACAGGGTCTCCCACGAGTTCACTGTCATGGAGAGACCTGGGATTATCACGTTAGATATACACTACACAGGGTCTCCCATGAGTTCACTGTCATGGAGACCTGGGGTTATCACGTTAGATATACACTACACAGGGTCTCCCACGAGTTCCCTGTCATGGAAAGACCTGGGGTTGTGTATGACGACTGGATATTATTTCAGCTCCCGCTGCAAAGACATACATATCAAAACTATTAGCCTGAATATAATATTTGTTTTAATTTGAAACCAAGCAACAATGTATTTTATTGTGGCAGGTATTTTTTCAACAGTAGGAAGCATAATTAATTATTCAAGCATTTTCTGGGCATTTTCTGGTCCCTACGAAGCTTTCCGAAAACATAATGCACGGCGCAGATTTCTTTTGATTACAGTTCATTTCGTCTACAGTCAGTTCGTCTACAGTGGGTTCGTCTACAGTCAGTTCGTCTACAGTCAGTTCGTCTACAGTCAGTTCGTCTACAGTCAGCTCGTCTACAGTCAGTTCGTCTCAGTCAGTTCGTCTACAGTCAGTTCGTCTACAGTCAGTTCGTCTCAGTCAGTTCGTCTACAGTCAGTTCGTCTCAGTCAGTTCGACTATAGTCACTTCGTCTACAGTCAGTTCGTCTACAGTCAGTTCGTCTACAGTCAGTTCGTCTCAGTCAGTTCGTCTACAGTCAGTTCGTCTACAGTCAGTTCGACTATAGTCACTTCGTCTACAGTCAGTTCGACTATAGTCACTTCGTCTACAGTCAGTTCGTCTATAGTCACTTCGTCTACAGTTCATTTCGTCTACAGTCAGTTCGTCTACAGTGGGTTCGTCTACAGTCAGTTCGTCTACAGTCAGTTCGTCTACAGTCAGTTCGTCTACAGTCAGCTCGTCTACAGTCAGTTCGTCTCAGTCAGTTCGTCTACAGTCAGTTCGTCTACAGTCAGTTCGTCTCAGTCAGTTCGTCTACAGTCAGTTCGTCTACAGTCAGTTCGACTATAGTCACTTCGTCTACAGTCAGTTCGTCTACAGTCAGTTCGTCTACAGTCAGTTCGTCTCAGTCAGTTCGTCTACAGTCAGTTCGTCTACAGTCAGTTCGACTATAGTCAGTTCGTCTACAGTCAGTTCGACTATAGTCACTTCGTCTACAGTCAGTTCGTCTATAGTCACTTCGTCTACAGTTCATTTCGTCTACAGTCAGTTCGTCTACAGTGGGTTCGTCTACAGTCAGTTCGTCTACAGTCAGTTCGTCTACAGTCAGTTCGTCTACAGTCAGCTCGTCTACAGTCAGTTCGTCTCAGTCAGTTCGTCTACAGTCAGTTCGTCTACAGTCAGTTCGTCTCAGTCAGTTCGTCTACAGTCAGCTCGTCTACAGTCAGTTCGTCTACAGTCAGTTCGTCTACAGTCAGTTCGTCTCAGTCAGTTCGTCTACAGTCAGTTCGTCTACAGTCAGTTCGTCTCAGTCAGTTCGTCTACAGTCAGTTCGTCTCAGTCAGTTCGACTATAGTCACTTCGTCTACAGTCACTTCGTCTACAGTCAGTTCGTCTACAGTCAGTTCGTCTCAGTCAGTTCGTCTACAGTCAGTTCGTCTACAGTCAGTTCGACTATAGTCACTTCGTCTACAGTCAGTTCGACTATAGTCACTTCGTCTACAGTCAGTTCGTCTATAGTCACTTCGTCTACAGTCAGTTCGACTATAGTCACTTCGTCTACAATGGGTTCGTCTACAGTCAGTTCGACTACAGTGATTGTCGTAAGGTGGAGTCAGTTAATCCTCGACTAACATATAAATCTTATACACTTCTCTCCTCTAAAATTAAAACAAAGCTTTATTCTCATGCTGATTTCATGTGGAATAGAGTTAGCTAGAGCTAGCTAGAGCTGGCTAGACTTGCTTTTGTACATACATATAGATATAGATTGGTTTTGTTTTAATAAAATAAATATATTCCACGGTCATGGTGCGGGACTGAGTTAATCCCAATGGATTATGTTGCGTCCCAACGAGGACGAACACAAGTCATTCTAAATGGCTTTAGATACAGACTAAATAATAAGAAGAACCCTTATCCGAGTCCTACAGAACTTAGAAAAAGCTCACCCGTGACGAGCAACCCATGCTTGTCGTAAAAGGCGACTTACAGGATCGGGTGGTCAGGCTCGCCGACTTGGTTGATGTATGTCATCGTATTGCATAGATCAATGCTCTTGATATAAATCACTGGATTGTATGGTCCAGACTCGAATATTTACAGACCGCAGTCAAAAAAAGCACAAAGGAACAAAGTTGCCCTGCATCTGCACGTCACCTGACCTCCTCCGCACAAGAGACCGGCCAAGGAATTGATCCAAGGTTACAGAGGCAGAGAGACCTCTCAGAGAGAGGCGTGAAGTCCCCTTTGTAATTCCTAGATGACATTAGGTTCAACTTGATTTAACTGTTGAACTGATACTATACTGTTCATCAGCTGCTGCAGTACAGAACTCTTATAAGTGTTAAGGAATATTGCTTGTTGACTAAACTATGATATGTTATATTAGGTCATTGTGTATAATAAATGTATTCAACTCTCTCTTATTCTACACGGACAGGTCTACCATGTTTCTGAATGGGTCAGCTTATTACCCCCTAATCATTTATGCATACCTTTGTTTAGATAACACTGTAGATGAAAGTGGGCGCCTCCATAATGCACGCTGACAGTAAATATCTGGTGTAAAATGCAGGGGCTTGTTAATTTTGCATTCACAGAGATCACGTGTTGATATTACATTAATAAAGACCACGTGGTAACGTTACATTCACACAGATCTCTTGCTGGTATTACATTTATAGAGACCACGTGGTAGCGTTACATTCATAGAGATCACGTGCTGGTATTACATTTATAGAGACCACGTGGTAACGTTACATTCACAGAGATCACGTGTTGTTTCACTTTTATAGAGACCACGCGGTAACGTTACATTCATAGATATCACGTGTTGGTATTACATTTATAGAGACCACGTGGTAACGTTACATTCATAGAGATCCCGTGTTGGTATTACATTTATAGAGACCACGTGATAACGTTACATTCATAGCGATCACTTGCTGGTATTACATTTATAGAGACCACGTGGTAACGTTACATTTATAGAGATCACGTGTTGGTATTACATTTATAGAGACCACTTGGTAACGTTACATTTATAGAGATCACGTGTTGGTATTACATTTATAGAGACCACGTGGTAACGTTACATTCATAGAGATCACGTGTTGGTATTACATTTATAGAGATCACGTGGTAACGTTACATTCATAGAGATCACGTGTTGGTATTACATTTATAGAGACCAAGTGGTAACGTTACATTTATAGAGATCGCGTGTTGGTATTACATTTAAAGAGACCACGT